AAAACTTACTTTCATTTTATCGTTTTATTATTTATATCATTTAGAGCTGAAATATTCTTGCTTGGTTTCATCCACATGATGAATATCCTTGGACTACTTGAGGCAAAGCACATCAGACATTTGGATTACTCAATAGAGCTAAGGAGAGGAAATGTATCTTCAGAGCTGATGCAGTTTTGTTTAGTAGCCAAGGATATTTTTAGAATACAGAAGGAAAAACACCAGACAGAAAAAGACTTGTAAAGAAACCCCAGCTAAAATACCAGAAAGGGAGCAGACACATGCAAAAATAAATGCTCAGGAGGGCCAGATAAACCTTTAAACTGTTACTGTCCTAATATTAATAAGACAGCAAGATATAGGAATAGAAATTGTAAATTATGAAGAACAAATGAAATTTTATACTACTGCATCTTTGGTTGCCTCCATTTTAGCATCTGACAAGCCTGGTGTTGAAGAAAAAAAATAAATAGTAGAGATCTACTTGAATGAGCAATAGAAAGAGAGAGAGAACACAGAATTAGACCATCACTGTGACTGCTGAGGAAGTGGTCAGGGTTAGTCTTCTACTAGAACAGCATACAGAATTACAGAGAAACATGCCGCTCTCACAAAAATACCCAAATTGCAGTAGAAGCAAACTGGAGAGAAAAAACAGTAACAATGGACCAGAAGAAAGAAGTGCAGTGCATTAAAAATGGCTCCAAACTCTGTGAATGCGAATCAGTCCTCAAAAAAGACAGAGAAAATGCTGATGGATGTTTTAGGTATGTGCTATGCTAGGAAGACTTGAGAATCATGATAGAAGGTTACGGAACCAACAGAGACTGCACGAGACATTCCTCCATGGTAATAAGACAGTAAGACACAGCTGGCAGAAAATTATTAATAATTCATATCAATAACCCAGTGGTGATTACAGCTTTACTGCAGCCTTACAATGCAGAGACACCGAGGAACATTCCTGTGGTGTTGTCAAGGTAACCTGCAAGTATGTAGGTGTGCAATTCTGCTGGCGTTTCTGTCAAATGACAGAGAACCAAGGAAATGAGAGACAATATGCAGAATCTGTGTTTCCTTACAACTGAAAAAGCTGAGACTTTATTTAAAGAGCAAGAAGAGCTGCAGTAAATGTTAGGAGGAATTGTATGCTACAGCTCATGAATTCCAGAGACAGAGTCTCCTCCCATATTTAAGACAGAGTAGGAACAGGGCACAGCCTGGAGCAATCAGGCTATCTTCAGATACATTGCTGATACACTATGAAAGTATTGACTGCTTCTTAAATTCCTTAAGTGCTATTGTGGTCCTATCTTTAGCATCAGTACTCATGCTACTCACTCCATATTTTTGTTAATTATTTACTATTTAAAATGATGTTTCTGAATTCTGATTCAAATCATGATTCCTTACCAAGTAAAGCACAAGTTTTTATTCTTTCATTCGTGCTACCTTCTTTACCAGTTAATTAAAAGAGGAATGCAAAGAGGTGGTTAATGAATTTTACTTTGCAAAAGAGGGACAGAGAAGTACAAGGGGTAAGAGCACACACCCTGCTAGTTACTGAGGCTCCAGTGAGATGTGACAACTTGTTGAGCTGTGACCAGCTCCTCGCACTGATCCATCCTCAAAAACAAGCTGCTGCTGGCACTAGTATGATGCTGGACTGCTTAAAGCCTCCCTCTCTTCTCCCCACCCTCCTCCTTTACAGGCCTGTCACGGACAGCAGCAGAGCCACACTCACAGAAACCCCTGGGCTTCTCTCTCCCTCTCCCCCAAAAGAGCAGCTTGTCCCATCAGCATCCACCAGAACTGCCACTGATTAAGGACAAACTCTGCATGACCTGACCCTATATAAGGGGAGAGAAAACAAAATATTTCACAATGATTCACAGAGGTAAAATCTAAAAAAGGCAGTATAATGATGCTAAACATGCTAATCTAAAAAGAAAAAAAGATAGACACTCTTAAGGCTCTTTTTAAAGTCTAGATGTTGCTAAGTAAAGCTAACTACAAAGTGTTTGCAGTGCTGATGAAATTTGGAGTATACAATGAGATAATTCACTTTTTTATAAATCATACTTTTGTATGTAGCTTTTGAACTTGGCAAAGACACATGATTTCCCACGCATTTCTGGAATACTATGCTGGAACATTACAGAGATGAAAAAAATAATCTTTTCAGTTAGTTTCTATTTACTGTGGAGTATTTTCTTACTTACTAGTCAATGTATTCTCCATCATTCACTGTGTGCAGATGAGGTTCCTATATTTCCTATATGATGGGCATCAGCCCATCAAAGACGGCTGATGCAGAATTAAATGCAGCCACACAGATGCAGGAGTAATCTTACCAGGCTCAATGGTAACTGTGTCCACTCCAGGAGAGCCATCTCCCATGTTCTTAGACCACAGACACAATATATTCACTGAAACACAATGATGTCATTCTAATTCACTGCTCTGACAGACATCCACCAATTCAAGAGCCTTCTGCTGTACCACAGGTTTCACCTACCCATCAAACGAAAGACTGAGGCAGTCTGAATCCAGGTGATACTGTCCTACCACCTCCCAAATCCTCTCAGTCCAGAACATAAATTTTCCCTAAAGTTATGCTGAAACATATACATGACAAAATGTAGGCAGAGCACTATCTTTTCCAGTCAGCAATTTTAGAATTATGTCTAAAAAAAATATAAACAAACAGAAGGTAATCCGAACCAAGCAGCGATTTACACAGAGTTAATAAGCAAAATGGTTGCACCCGCAGGACCTTCCAAAACAAGCTCCTTTGATTTGAGGGCTTCAGAACAATTTACAAACCACTACAGAAATTCTAAATATATTCTAGATCCAGGGACAGACAAAAAACCCAATCTGAATGTGTAATTTGTTTAGGCCATAAACAAATGAACTGCTAAAACACTCAGAAGTGGAATATAGGCAGAAAAAAAAATGCCTGGACCACATAAGGCAATCCATGTGAAAGCCCTAATAATCCAGCAGATCTGTTGCAAATCTGGTCCAGAAACATACAAACTTCAACTTAAAACTGAATGTCCTTTCAGTCATTGTTTGTCTCTCAGATAGTCATCTAAGACTCTGTAAACCCAGCAAATAAATACATTGGGCAAAAAAGCAACTCAGGATCCTCAAGGACATCCTAACAAACAAATCTGCTTGCTTGCTGCCCTAAACCAACCCCTTCAGCCACATTCATCCACAAATACCTGCAAGACTCAGTCTCACAGCCCCTTTCCAAATACAAGACACTTCCAAGTGACAGCCCACACTTCTAAGTCTACAGAAGCCATACAGAGCCATACGGAGCTGAACTGCCCCCCAAAGTAGACTTCAAAATCCAACCACTATCAAGGTGTAGCACTTTTGCAGAAGAGCCCTTTGTGTCACTTACTGTCACCCCATTTACGCAGACACCGCTCTGTCCCTTGGGAAAGGAATACTTCTGTTCTCCCTAAAAAAAATCCTCCGGGAGTGCAGAGCTCCCATAGAACTGAGGCATGGCAACATCACTTAGATGTCCTGAAGACATCATGGCAGCACCCTTTCTCCTGAGGGATGCTATCAGGATGGACTGCATATGATGATACCTTCAAGTTACACTGCAAAGATGATATGCCAATCCCTACACAGCTTTGGTCACAGAGGGCTGCAAAGATGCTGGTTGAGTATCAGTTTCTGACTGAAAGTTGAAATGTTCCAAAGAAGAGGTCTGCTGGACAAACTCCCCCAACACTGCAAACTTAGGGGAAACAGCTAACAAAGGACCATGTTTATGGAAACAAAACCCCATCAGATGTGATTGAAACCCCTCAACCAGCACCTTGGCAGATCTGCCTGAACGCCCTGTGAGTCTGTTTGCCTTCACAGAATAAAGGGGACAAAAGTAAAGGGGAAGGGCTGTAGGCAAGCCGGCCTCCGATGCTGATTTGAGAAGCGGCTGGGATCACACAGAGGACAGAAGTGGCTGAAACTCAAGATTTTCTGCAAGAAAAAAATCCAGAATAGCTTTTGTTCTGCCTAAGAATATTACGAATGTCCCACACAATGGGAATTCTGAAATACTGTTTTGAAAACATTTATCAAAGCATTTTGCTCCAAATTCCTGAATTAAAACTCTCAAGTGGCTCAGAAAAATGACAATGGCTAGCAATAAATTATACATATATTGGAAAAATTATAGATAAATGTTCTTTGTTACCTGCACCTGCAGCAAAGAAAATCTACTCATCAGTTAATATTTTCCATTCAGCTTAATAGATTCTACTTTTTGAACAAGACTACAAACTGTACCATGAATACTACTTTTGCCCATGGGAAGAAATGAACTACAGAAAGCAATCGAAGATTCTCAGTGTTTGATTTTGCTTTTGCAAAACAACCTAGTTAGAAACCTCTAAGGAGATATTCTAGAATCAATTGCATTAAATTATGCTCTGAGAGTCCAACAGCAACGCAGAATACAAATGAAGCACAAAAAAAAGCCACGTTTCCCTTCATATGTGAGATGAGCACGTATTACAAAAAAGGCAGTTTGCAGTTAATATTGGATTGGATTCTGGTTTTGTAGTGAACAAGTGAAGTTTTGAAAATTGTTTTGAGCAATTTAACATTTAGGAACTGAAACACTCTCACTTGTTTTGATCTTCGGTTTTAAAGTGAAATCAGAATTAAGATCTATTAGGCCTATTTCAAATTTCTTTCCAATTCTAGTCTGTTCCCATGATCCCAACCATCTGGGACTTCTGCCATCAGGGGGGCACAGGCTCCCTCACAAGTGTATGTGAGCCCCTTCCAGTGACTGAAGATTTGCATCACCAACAAGAAGGGATCATCCTTTTTAGCACTCTCCACACAGCTGAGGTTGTGGTTACCACCTTTTAACTTGGCTGTACATATCACAGATTGAAAGTGAGAGAAGCAGAGTCAAAATCCATGTAACCAGAAAAAAAGTATCACCTTGACAAAACACATACCTTTGTGGTATATAAAACATGTGCTGCGGAGGGGGTTTATAAAGAACTCCTTCATACACAGGCCACAAACCACTTAAAATTCTGAAGAGTGAACTCTTTCCACAGCCATTGGGTCCAGTGATTAAAAGATTCATCCCCTCCTGGACCTACAACAGTAATGAAAATGCAAAGATGTTATTATGCAGTGTATATGGCAAAGGATAGCATAAGAGCCCCAGAGAGAGTTAGGTGAGCATTTATACCAAATTATCAACCCATGTCATTAATGACCTGCACATATTTATGCAACTATTCTGGAAACAACGGCATAGATATAATATGTGGGTTGAAATAATGAAAATAATTCCTATGATGTCTGAGTATTTCTATAAGCTACACTGATTACACTACAATGTCAATACACCAGTCAGAATCACTTATTCAAATGCAGATTAGGTTGAAAGGATGTTAACACAGACAGAGCAGTGCTATGCCCATCAGTGATATTAATTTAAGCTACAGGAGCCTGATCAAGAGATTGAGAAAATTTACTTCACATTGCCCTTTCTTGTTTAATTACCAGTGTTATTTTGGCTGTGATGCACTTGTTCTTATTCATTTGAATATCACCCTGGATACATATGAGTGTATATTTATGCATGATCATAATGTCATTGTGTATGCTTTACATAAATACATTAACTGTTTTATTTTCTATTGTTTTTGTCTCTTAAGCCAAATGAGTAAATTACTGTCTCCTTGACCAAAAAGTTGTAATTTTACAAATGTGAAATGTCTACACTGAAGCCATTGCAAGTTTTGCCGTAGCTAGGACCCTGTCCTTCTAGTTGCTGTCTTATACCTACAGAGGTGGCAAAAGGAACACTCTGCTTTAGCTACATCAAAGGACCTGCTGGGATTATTCATGTTAGTGTCCTGATAACTTCAACTGTTTTTTTAAAATAACAACATCTGCACTGGAACATAAGACCAGGATATATATGACAGTAATTCAGTAATGGTCATCCACTAAAATTGTAAACAGGTCCCGAGTGGTATCTGGAATAGCTTTTTAAAAAAAAAATCCAAGTTTTCACTGAGTAAAGACTCCACAATTGTGCTTGTGAACTATGCTGCCAACTATTAGAGAGTACTGGTCTTTGTTGTGATCAAGCAAAACTACATATTCATTTTTTTCATTTTTTCATGGCTGTGACTTTTAAAGGAGCCTATGTAAGTAAAGCATCCCAATTTCAATGAAAATAAGTGAAGATGGATGCAGACTCCCATATACACTTTTGAAAATCTCAGGTCTTTTTATCACCTGGCAACAGCACCAGAAATCCTCTCTTCTCTCTCTTTGAGCAGGATAAACTACATATGTCTGCCCCTATTGAGCTACTATGCCTACCTTTCTGGACTTCCCCTTTTATCCATATGCTCCTCCAAGTACTTAACATAAGGTACATGAATTCTGTGCTGTTTATGTTAATGTGATGGCAACAATCAGAAGATTCTTGCATATCATCTTACTTGGAAGTTTAGTCTGGAAACCACCACATCGCCATTTGGAGTAATAATAGGAACATTTTCACAAATAATTCCATGATCAACATCAACAACTTTCCCTGGAAGCAAACAAAAAAGATAATAATTAGAGTTTGTGAAATCTTCCATTAAGCAATGATACACGGCAGTCTCTGTTCGGCTGAGAAGTATAAATTGGTGAGTTTCAAGCAGCTCTTTTATGTGCCTGCGTCCAGGTTCCCCTAGTGGAATATCTGGATAATAAATCTTAGCTAGTCAGGAAGACACTGTCAGCAGGAGCCAAGAGTGTGCGATGAATGCCAAATTTGATCATAAATACAACGCACAACATGCATCATAAATATATAATGCACTACATGTTTATTCACATCCTACCCATATTTACTTTATTTAGTTTTAAATAGTTGGTAAATATCAACCAGTTAAAAAGTTGAAGGACAGCTTTAGCCACAGGCAGACCAATTTACCCTCTCTTGAGGACTTTATTAGAAAATGGAATCTACTTTCATGACCAGCTCTGAAACTCTGAGCCCAGTTCAGTCTCCTCCAGCAACGAGAGCAAAGCAGAAAACATGTAATGGCTCGCTTCCATCTTTTTGAAGCCATAGACACTGTAAATGTCTCTTGTAAGTAGTTGTGGAAACCCATATAACATATTTCACTCCAGTAGCTACACTTACTATTTGGATTTCTGGCAAACTTAAATATACAATCTCAACTGGACATTTGGATACTCTGTAACACAAGAACTTAGAAATAAATTCTTCTGGAAACAGTAAAAAAATGAAACCAACTCTATCTTCTCAGTTGCCTGTTAATGGGCTTTTCTAACTGAACAGCTGGGCTCCTTGACAAACGCCAGAAATTGCCTTTACAGAGAAGATGCAAAGGAAAGAGATTTCTCTTTGTATTAGAAAGGCTTATTTTATAACTTACACTAATCTGAGCAAAGAAATGTTGCCCCAGAAAATTATCCTTCACAATCTTAAGCAAATTCTGCAAAATTCATTCATGTTTTTGAAGAACTTGGATACAGTGGAGAAATTCTAGTTAAATCTATGATAAAATAGTAAGGTAAGTATTAAGTTAGCTTAATTCTAACTTTGCAATGTTTGATTGCAACTTTAGAGTGCTTTAAAAGCACTCTAATGTGTAATCAGAACTACAGTTTGATAGTATTTGTACAAGATGTACAAAATTGATATTTCAACTTTAAAATTCTGCATTATTAGATACAGTATGTATATAACTATTACTATCTGTTAAAAATATTCAAATACTCTTCATATTTTCACCATGTTCTTATTGACAATGGTAAATGCAAGGCATAGCACAGACATCCCTTAGTTACTTAAATTTATATTTGATGATTCAAAAGGAAATAAATAGTATGTGTTGAAAAAGCTTTTGCGGAAGCTGAACATTAAGATTTTTCTTTTCTAACAATGCAGACACATATATGTATGTGAGCACATGTACTTTTATCCACATTCAAATCCACTCTGCAGGGATTTCTGAAGTATCAAGACCAAAAAAAAAAAAAAAAAAAAGAGAGGGAAAAACAGTATTACAATGGGACTTGTCATAAAAAGTGTGGAGCCTGTGGCCTAGATTCATCTGGCCTAAATTCTCCTTAAGTCCTTGTGCACAATGCTTGGTATTGGCTAGCTGCCCCTGAGAGCCTACAACCACTCAGGAGCAAACCCTAGTTCTTAGGAGGAATTCAGGCTGGATGAAATGTGTGGCTGTAGTGGAATCAGATCTTGGGAAAAGGCTGCCGAGAAGAAAGGAGGGAGACATAAGTATACTAGACCAACAGGGAATGTGAATTGCATGCTTGCATATCTGAACTGCATTTGGTTTTGCTTTTAAAACACAATTTTCTAAAAAGGATCCCCAAATGACTTTGTTGCTCCAGGAACTACAAACCTTTTCTCTTGCACATATAAGTTATAAAATGCCATTTCTTTTAACGTCAGCCAAATATTACCAAGATCTACAAGATCATAGCTTGTCACAAAACATCAGCTATTTCCACAGCTACCACCACACTGCATCAGGGTGTTTGTTATGAAGAACCTTGTCAGAGGACCTTTGAGAAATCCCTGCCAAAGGGCAGAGCTGTTGAAATCGCTGAAATAAGTTATTTCATAAAGAGCACTGTGGTGCCTTCAGCTCTACTGAGGTTTAAGTTTTCAGAGGCCAAAGGGAGGGAATGAGGCTTTTCAACACCACAGAGGGGAGAAGTGAAAGGAGTCTGTTGGGAAAATTGGGAAAAGCCCATTGCAAAAGCTGCCTTTAAGTACCTCAGAGAGAAGCTGGATGCCAAAGGAAGAGAGAGGTGGCACATAATGGAATGCAGTAAGAAATGGATGCCCGCAGAAAATGCTTTGGGGAGGCAGAAAGATAGTGGCACCAGAAAGGTACAGGATAGGGACAGGAGGAATATGGTATATATTGATCACATCATTTGGGAGGTGAGGGGAAGGGTAAAGTTGTTAGCCCATTTTCAGGTGAAAATACTCACTAAATTATGAAAAAATGAGCACAGCCTGATTTTTAGTCACTGAAAACAAAGTAGTATTTTCTTCAAAAACTACTGAACCAATCTGTCTTTCCTTCCTACCCCAAACAAAATAATGTTGTGTTTGAAGATGAAAAAGTTACAGTCTCAGTTTTCTGAAAAAAAAAATCAAGTGTCTGAGGAAAGCAGGCACTGTCCATGAAAGAATAATAATACCACCGCCACCAATAATAGTATAGTTGAAATGCCTTTTTCATTGTAGGTTTTCACAAAAAACATTAGAGCCATTTTGTGTATTAGAAAAGCACTGTATAAGCACAGAGTTACAAAATAGCAGGAGGTTAAAATGGAAGGCAACATGGTCTCTGGGGTATTAAGGCAGAGAGGCTGATTTGTTGTAGAAACAAAACCTCTGTTCACCTCCTGTCCCACTGCACCAGCCCCACAAACAGCGAAATGCATACAAATATGTATTAATTACCTTTGATTTCTAAGGGCCCATCGATGTGTAATTCTGCTTTATCTTCATTCTTGCTGTTGTTTTCAGACCCTTGAATAACAGCAGTTCTTTTGTAGATGCCTCTCTTCACTTCGTCAAAGACTGAAAACATGTTGTAGACGCGGGCGGTGTAGCCTGCGAGCTCAGTAACCTGAGAAACAACAAATGCCTCATTTCAGTTACACTTCACAAATTCTATAAATGAAAAGTTTGGCCAAAGATTCGTGAAAAACATTCCTAGTTGTTCTGAGTCAGTGCTTCTCAAATGTTACGCTGGAAGGATCAACGATGCGTCTTTCGACGCCTATCAATTTTCATTCCTTGAGATTCTGCTCTCACCCATATGCCACCCACAGCTCCTCCCAGCCAGCAGATAGAGATGGGTTAGGGGGACAGCTTTCAGTCAATGTAAGCTACAGTAACTCCAGTAAATGAGGAAGTTGCAGGGACTGCTCTTTTCCATGGATCAGTAGACTCTTCGACCAGCAGAGAATAGCTATTAGCATATCCGAAAATAGAGAGCCTATCATACAAGAGAAAAACAAAATCTCTGCATTTGCCAGCAAAATAAAGGTCCACAGAAGTGAGAAAAACTGGCATCGATAATTATTTGTGTTTATTTCCCCATATTCCCAAAACCTCCTGTGGGAAGGGTGTGCTTTTCTGTGTAAAACAGGCAGTACCAGGGCATCCTAATCTAAAATACAGTACAAAAAAGAAATTATTTTTCTGTCAACTGCATGCTAGAGTACCAGAGCTAAATCTGAGACCTTGCATCAGAACCAAGCGTTTTTAAGATAGTGAAGTCTCTTAAAAGGCTATCTCCTCTTTTTCTGGTCCTTTTGTCAATTTCCACCTGGTGAGGCAGAAAAAACTGATCTCTGGACTTGATAACTTCCTATTCATGGGCAGTGACACCACCAAGAGCTCCCAAAGAACTGCCTTCATCTGCTGGCAGCAAAGAATAAAACCCAGACATCTTATTATAAATGTATTATTAGATGGTTTTCCAAGGATATATTTTTATACTAATTGTAGAGAGCAAGACAAGAATAGCAAGAAAATGAGTTCAAGATTATAAAATCATTCGCTTGCAGTGGTTAAATGCATACACTCCATGACTGAGTTCACCTGCTATGGCATACATAATTCCAATATAAAATCCTCTATAAATTTCTGTGCCAGATTCAGAAGTGAGTGCTAGCTCTGGCCACGTGAACATCACTCCACTGGAGGTTAACAAGTACGCAACATCTCAAAAAGCTCCGTTTAAAGAGTAATCACTCAATGTTTCAACTCCATCAGTTGTACATTCTTTTGCACTATTAGTAATTGCATTAAGAGCTGTGAACAGTACTGGGCTAACAGCAGTTGAGGCGATAGGTAACACATAGGACCTGTAACATCATTCTCCACACTGGAGTCTTTCTAGCAATTTCAGCAGGAGCTCGTGCCGGGATCGAGTGCTCCACACAGCATCAGCAGTGGAATGTGATGGAGTGAATCATGCATGTGATGAACAGAACTTCTATCAGCTGTGGCCCAGAAGAAACATAAACTTGTAGTAAGTTTCTGAACCATGACCCTACAAACTCACTTTATCAAAACACAACATACTACCATCTAAACTATTGACCTGTAAAGAAAAGTTGAGTCCACCTCATCTGCATGCTGAATTACATTGACTGGAAGGAGGCTGTCTTGGTGGATCAGGTGGGCAAGAACTGGAACTTCACTACCACTTGAATGGATTGAAGTACACTGTCCCTTGGAAACCATCTAAATCACGAAATGGGAATGACAATGTGGTTAAAGTACCACAGTGTCTCTCAAAGAGAAGTATAAATGTAAAATTAAGATGAAAATTCATAGAACTGGTCTTAGATCCCATGCTGTCTGGATTAAAATCTCACCATGTTATAAACAAAGTGAGTGTGTTCAGTTGTTCCAGCTGCTTTGTAGGTATTTTTGTTTCCAAAAAATAAAATCACAATGCTTGCAAGTCCCCATATACGTTATATAAATTACTTAAATGTTGAAAATAAAATAGAAATGACATCAGTTTTTCTGGCAATATCTTTAGAGCCAAGGCTAAGCAGGGAACAGCTAAAAGAGCATAGGTCAAAATCACAGCCCATTAGAAGAGCTACTTCTGAAAGTAGCACAGACTTTGGCTTTGTCAGAGTCCATATCTGAAGGTGCCAAACTACTCCTCCTCCTCCAATTTACAAAGCTGTAGCTATTATGGCTGGATTCCAACTAAGGAATCCATAGTCTTTGATTAGCTGCCTAGCTAATGACCTTCTCCTTGCACTCCACAGGGAAAAGGGGTCCTCACCAAAGGGACGAGCAAAAAAAAATTAAATGCAGAACCAACATTCAGAAGGAAATGTTGAGGAGAATAACTGCATTGCCCCACTTTTCTTTTGCTTAACAGCCAGCCCCTAGAAAAACACCGAAGGGAGACCACAGATGAAAGCCCAACTTCACTGGAATTTGGGTAAGGACCTGAAACAACATCTCTGATCTTCCAGATGAACACCTCATACTTCTAGACTATCTGCTGTCCCAAAGTGGATTTTTGCCTGCTAAAATTTCTCTACTTTGCAAAATTACTTACAAATTAACAGATTCACAGGATACTGAAAACAGCCCTACAGTTTAGGTGGCCAGGAAATAAGTATTCAATTCTCTTTGTGTTTCATACACAACATGACACCTCCAACAGAAGAATCCCAATACATTGCACGCAGCCAGCCTGAATTCAGGTTTGTGCTCCAAACAGAGAAGGAATTTGAACCTTTTTCACTCACATTCCAGGAACTTCTATTGCTCTCTGATGGCACCTGAACACAAGTATTAAAAATGACATTTACATGTTGCACCATACTGGCAGTGGTGCACTTTAGACTCTGTGGACTTAACTCTAAAGATCAAACCATCAGTTCAAAGATCTCCATGGATTTAGTTGCAACAGAATTTGTCTTTAAAAATCGCACTTTTAAAAAACGTTTTATATGAAATGTAAATTCTAGTTTACTTTCTTTTTCTCCCTTCTGTTTCACGTATGGCAGATGTACAGTACCTCTTTGTACGAAGACATAATCCTTTCAATAGCATCTGCTCCAGAGATCAGCAAGTTTCTTGATGTAGTAAAAGCTTCTGTTCTTTCACTCACCATTTCCTGCTTCTGGCCATCTTCCAGTTCTAAAAGAAAAAAAAAAAAAAGTTTTCTGTTAAAACATTCCTCTGAAAATTATCTCTATAAATTAAATTACGATTAGAACGTGAGCTCTTGTAGAGCAGCTTTTAAATTAAGAAAAAAGTCAACACTACAAAGACAACCTTTCAAGAACTGGTGAATGCAACTAGCATAGATAGTTTGGTAACAAGGAGTAAGTGGGAGTACATGGAATTCATCTTCTTATGCAAAACATCCTATTCTTTTATACTATTTGTCTACATAGATAATGTCCCTTTTAATATATCAGTGTTCAACGTAATTTTTTCAAAATAAAAAAAAAGTGAAACCTAAGCAATGATCTGAAACAGATTTTTAATTGTATTTTTACTTTAGCAATTGTTCCAGCCTTACTTATTTAACTTCATATAAAAGGAAACATTCATATTCATGAAATTTGGGAAGATTATTATATTTCTGTAAGAAAGCAATAAGCTCTTTTATTATCAAAGGCATGGTTTAAGTAGGATACCTCTCACATAATTTCTCCCTTTATCTGACCACAGAACAAAGTTGTGATGCTTTGTTTATGACACTGCATCCAACTAGCAAGAAAACTCTTGCTCCAAAGAAAGCAGTTATCTCCCAAGAACATGTCAGCAGCAACAGGCAAGGAGAAAACAGCAGCAGAAGTTATAGAAGATACATGAGAAATAAATACATTTACACTGAACATATCTACATATACTCTTGCTACTGTGTGACCAACAGATTAATACAGCATAGTCAACTTGAAATGTTTGCTTCTTGAAGGAACAAAGATTTTAAGAAGTGGCTGAATATTTTAAGACTCACTGTTGGTTCACTGTTAATAGTTGCATAAGACAACAACATGCAGTAACACACTCAAAGATTTTTCATAAACAAGATTTAGAATTACAGGTCTCAAGAGTTTTCTGCATCACATAACTTTATATATATCTTTCTATATTGCTTAAGTCTATTGCAGATCAGGGTCTGGCTATTTTTTTTTCTACTTAAGTTTGCAAAGTTTTTTTATAGCTAAGCTGCTGCTATGCACCAGGCTAGGCAGGGTTATAGGTGGATCCAGTGTGGCAACTCCTACACCCTCTGTCTACACAGTGCTGATGGTCAAGAAAATCTAGGAGGAATTCCCTGCAGGGGTAACACAACTGTACATGTTCTGGGCTAAGTCAAGCAATGAAAGAGTGTAGCAAACAGTATTTTTTTTTTACTTGGTAACTGGCTCACCTCTCTGACAAGATACGACTCTAGAAAACTAGTGTCTAGAAATCTACATGCAGTAGCAAAGCCTTTATTAGTTAAATCTAAATGTTATTTTGCTTTCATTACACTCAAATACACTATGGATAATTTAAGAAAAACTTTTTTTATATTCTTACATCATAATTTTGCATATATATAGGTGCACCATCTATTTGTTACTCTTTTTCGCTTCAGATGTTTTTCCTAACAATTTTAATCAATTGAGATACGTGTCCAAATTTGAGATACATGTTCAAACATGCAGCCCATGCTATGTAGGACCAGCAGAACTAAATCATTTAGGAATCAGGTCTGGTTGAACTATACTAATGCAGCATTCCTCCTGCATGTGAATGCAGAACTCACTGCTTCCAGCACCCAGGCTAGCTCAAGCCCAGCCAGCAAGACTCTGCAAACCACCGCATCACTCATTCCAGGAGTATTTGAAAAAATAAAATTACATAAAATTTATGAGCATTTCACTGTTCTAAAACACAAGCTCTTCTAGTACACGCTTTACCCAACCAAGATAGCTTTTCTTGAACTTTTTGTCCAAAACATTTTTCACACAGCTGGCCTCCCGCGTTTGAAGCGGCAGTGAGTTGTAACAGGGCAGACAGGCTGCCTGTTTCATACAGAATCTAACATTTCCCTTTTCATCTTCATTTACATGATTGGTAGCCATACTTGTTTTATAAACTAAGATAAGTGTTTGTTGTATATAGAGAAATCAAAGTCTTGCTTCCAAAAATAGTTACTTTCCACAAATTGATGAGAGACACAATATTTGGAACACCAATCATTTAAGAATCTTGGCTTTGCCAGTTAGTTTCTTCTCTGAAACATGTAACAGAATTAGCAAATTTCAGTCAGAAATGTCCCTGTCATAGAAGATTCTTTTTTTATTATTTTTTTACTTCCCTCCACCCCCAAAGAAGCGTACAAAATCCGTTGCTTTACACTTTTAATCTCAGATCTGCTCATGGTACCAGTTTTTTGCATATCCCTGATTCTGATGATTTATCCTAAAGTAATAAAACCACTATCTCTTACTTCTGAACAAACTTGCATCTGACCTGCTGAGGCACAACGCACTGTTTTCCCAAGCAGGCCAATGGTAAGTTCAGATCTGCTTGATTCTTTGAATACCTGTTATATTTTGAACTGGTCCCAACAGTGTTGATTTGTCAGTATTATGTTTGTGACCCATCATTATGATATACCTCAGGTGCCCATAATAAGCCTCATGCTCTAAAATTTTATGTTGCTGGTGGCAAATATTCTTCTGCTTTTCAACATGAGCTATCGCTGCATCTTCTTTTCTCCCACATTTGAAGAGTATTCATCAAAAGAATACTCATGAGTAAAAGGAATGTTATTGAGTTTAGCATGAATACGTTTTTTTTGTATTCATGCTGTAATACCAAGGAAATATTTACAATGTGTGGTTAAACGAACCTTTTCTTGACTCTGCTCATTCCTGTCTTAGCATTCTCATCACTTTTCCTGTTGTGCTAACTTTCACCACAAAGTGAAATGGTTTTGTACAAACTCTTCTGTTTGGAATAGGACCTCCTGATATTTTTGAAGCTGTCACCAGGATGGCAGCCAGGATCCTGACATAGTGCCCTCCTGAGCCCTGTGACGGGCAGCGGCTCAGACAGCTGAACACCCAGCCACCTACCGACACAATTGCAAGTAAACTAAACCATGCAGGGACTGCACAAAGTCCTCCTACAGGTGGGACCAAGCTTGTCCAGCTGGACAGCCTTCATTTGGAATATAACTACCAAAACCTGCACGGAAAATAATTCACTCATTTCTGATTAAATGTCTCCAGGTTAGAACTGATCCTTCAACAGACATTGCAGGATCTTTGCTTAAAGGATCCCATGGAATCTGTAGTATGTTCTATGGTTCCTGTGCATAATGAAGCCTGTTGAGGCAAATTTCCCCACTTGTCTTTCACTACCCCTCCTTAATTACCTTTCTTTCTGCTTTTTTTTTTTTTAATTGCATCTGCAATAACACCACAACTTGGGTCTCATTTCACTTCCTGGAAAGTTGTGATAGGATGACAAAATTGACACCATCCAAGTTTGGAATCTGAATTTCACCTTCTTTTCTCCCAGGCAGTCAGAGAAAAACAACAGATCATAACAGGTCAACACATAAGATACTAATTTCCTATAATTACACTATGATTCACAGAAAGAGGAGATAAGCGCTATAGGAAAGTTAATAGTATTGTTTTGTAAAGTAGCAGGATATGCTGCAAAAATCAGCACACCATCCCAACAGCAGCTAGTCAATAAGGAGTGCAATTATCATTATAACCTCATGTGACACAAGGATCCTCTAAGTCCTGAATTCACGCTTATGTTCAAAGTTGGATCTTTCGCCTTGCTCCTTCCTCAGCTGACTTGCTATGCTTGAAAGTTACACACAAGACACAGACATTGCAATAAATGCTGTGAATAATAAATTACTATGAATGGCGTTCAAGAGGAAGTAGTCTTTTGAGGAGTTAGCTTAAAAGAAACATTTAGAAAGTAAGTAAAAAATGGTATTACCGCCATCTGCAAATCCCGTTGCAGTGATGATGGGCACAGCGACCATAATCATACCACAGCTACTCCAGACATACTTCATCAGGAACTGCTCTATCATGATGTACCATAAACGTTTGGACAGAATGAGATTCATTTGATCTGCCAGAGCCTTGTAGCTTTTCTGCAGTTGTTTCATTTCTACCTAGAGTTAAAAAATAAAATGTTATTACAGCGCAACAAAGACGCACATGTCACACAAGATACATTCAAATACAAGCATGAAACAATGGGTACCCAGAGCTGTGACTTCTGAGTCACATCTGCTGGGTGGCACTTTATTTTCACAGTGCTGCAGTCTCAGTGCAGAGCTCTGTGGAAGTCTGTGAACCTAGTTCTTATTTACACCACCGTCCCTCGATAGCACATTGGCAGGTTTTCAGCTTTTTTAAGATCTCTGATATATGCAAGAACAACATGCAAGGCAGTCACAACAGCTGATTCTAACAACCAAAATAAGATTGATTGCACATCCTTTTAACGAAGCTGCAGCTGTAGAGTTTCACAGCAACCAAAACTCCTCATATTGGAAGGCATTTGGGGATCAATTATCTCCAATGACCTAAAGCTGCAGAGCTGATCCCTGAAATGCAATGCTGCTTGGTTTTGCGAGCAGTCTGGAGGAAGAGAGAACTATCCCAAGAGGTATAATAAGTCAAAGGCAGTTGCAAGTCAATATGATATAATGCATTCAGTTCAAGCTAGTATATGAGGGAATTGAAAAAATGTTTAATTTAGCTGCACTTAAAACATTACTATAGGCAGCTTTTGAGAACGATGGCTTCTACCAAAATAAACCATGTACATTATATAATCATTGCTTGGGCTGAAAGAGTAATGAATGCTTCAGGCTGCTTTCCAGCTTTCATTTTCACCTTACATGAAACAACTTCATTTTCCAAATCATGTTTGAAAGGTGTTACAGCCAAAATTCACTCCAAATAAAAACACGAAGAGTTCTTTAATAAGGTGGCTTTAAAACAAGCCATTAGTTTATGTAACTGTGACTGCTGAAGTACTGTACTTAAGCTATTTTAAGACTCTGATGACTACATCTTTGCTTAGCTATGTAAAAGAGTGTCAAAGGTTGTAGAGCTCTCTGTGCTATCACAGAGTTTTCCCCTAGACTTTCTGCTGTGCCCTGGTTGCTATTTCCGCAGCGTTACATCTGGTAGTTCATAAACATGGGGCGGGGGGGGGGGAAGCTTGGTAAAGTCAAGCAGAATGGACTGGGTGGGGGAAAAACAGAGATTAGCTTTCTAGAAAAGCTTAGGATCCAGCTGCAAAACAGGAACATTGTCAGAGCACAAGGGAACTACGGTCCGCTCCCCCCCGATAGCGCCTGTGAGACTGCATTTTCTTAGGAAACGGGAAGTGCTAGCTGTAAACAGGTTTAAATGTCAGAAGGGCTCGAAGTGCCCTGGAAGAGAGCAGGGGAAGCACGGGGCGGCTCAGGAACTGCAGGAGCAGCCCCAACAACCCCCTGATTTCTCTCCTCCTTACCTTGTGCCCTCGGTAAAAGGCGATCTCTTCCACGTTGGCAATGATACGTGAATGCATGAAGCGCAGATAGCCCTTCTTGTGCGCCTCCTCAGCCACCAGCTTGCCAAACTTGGGCGAGCAAGCTTTGAGCACACGGGCTGTAGCATAGACGACGAGCCCGGCCAGGAGCGTGGGCCCGATGGGGTTAGCCCCCCGGGACCGCGCCGTGCGGATGAGGGTGTAGGAGGTGAGCACGACATCCAGGATGGGCTTGGTGAGGTTGGAGTAGAGATGCGCCATGGACTGTGAGAACATCATGATGTCCTCGGTGAGGGACTGGTCGGGGTTGGCCAGGCGCCCATCCATGCTGATCACTCTGTAGTAAGTCTGGTTGGCAAAGTAGGTCTCGTAGGCATGATCCACCAGGCGCGTGCGGAAGGCGAGGGCCAGCTTGCACTCCAGGTACCGTATGGTGCTGTTCACAAAAGTGGCCGGGATTGCAATCATCAACCATTTGATCAACTGGAAGACAAAGCTCCTGGGCTTTTTTTCCACGATGCTTTTCACGATCTTCCCATCGAGGGCGGCAACGTAGATGGAGAGGAAGGTCCTGGAAACCAGAGCGACAGAGTGAAGGCAGAGCAAGCCCAGCTCGGAGCTCACCAGCTTTGGAAAGAACAGCTTGCGAAGTTCCAGCAGCTGCTTGAAGAACTCCGCGTTGACGGCCGGGGAGGCTTTGCCCCGGCTGCCGGGGCGGCGCGGCTCCTCCCGGCCGGCATCCTGCGAGCCGCCCTTGCAGCCCCGCTTCATGCGCCGGCGGATGATGGGGTAGAGGATTTTGAGTCCGTACGCCGCGGCCAGCAGGCAAGCAGCCCTCTTGGCCGCGCTCGTCCTGTTCCATTGCACCCGCCGGGCCGCCGCATGCAGCATGTGGGTCATCCTGCCCCGGCCGCGGGCACCGCTTCGCGCCGCTCCTCAGCGGGGGCGGCTCACGGCCGGCGGGAAGGTCTACCCCGCCGGGTCTTCATCGGGCCGCCGCGGGCCCCGGCTCCCCACCGGCCGCCCTGCGCTGACAGATGCCGAATGAGCCGGGCCTCCCCGGAGGCGACGGTCGCCTTCAAAGCCCGGCGCGTTGCACAACGCAGCCCGGCGCCGCGCAGCCCGCCCCGCCGACCACCATTGGCTGCGCGGCGCGGGGCGGCACCGGCAGCGGCCCGGCTCCCGCACGGCTTCCCCCGCGGCCCCGGCAGGCCGGATCCCCCCCGGCGCTCGGCCCCGGCTCGGCAGCGGG